AGAATGTGCGAAGTATTAAAAATTTCGGATTCGTGCTGATTCGGCGGAATTTCGAGGAATAAATTTGATTCGAGTGCGAATATATTCTCTGCGAATTTTTAACTTATAAAAAGGGTTATCTAGGCTTCAGAGAGCCTTTATATTAGTGCAGAACATTGTACCTTTAATTTAAATGCACTTGGAGTCTGCTGGGGAAGAGAAATATACTGTCAGTCAGTATGACATGCAGATGAGTGCCGTCGATCTTAGAATCACCGCACACTTCACTCATTTTTGGGCAGTCACGGGGCCAAAACCCAGAGTGTGGAGCCACAGTGTGGCGGTGGAGGCAGCAGCAATGGGAGGCCATACAGCACCCTATGACAAAAATGGAACCCACCAGCAGTGTGAGGAGACCTGAAAGTGGCACCATGGCCAGAGTGTGGCGATTGAGGAGGAGGCGGTACAGGGGGCCCATGGCAGATTACGGGCCTGGCAGCAGCAATGGGAGGCCCGTAATCTGCCAGCACCCTATGACAAAATGGAACACACCAGCAGTGTGAGGAGACCTGAAAGTGGCACATGGCAGAGTGGTGGCGATGGAGACAGCAGCAATGGGAGGCCGTACAGGGACCCATGAGACACTCTGGACCTGGCAGCAGCATGAGGAGGCGGTACAGGGGCCCATGGCAGATTACGGGGCCTGGCAGCAGCAATGGGAGGCCCGTAATCTGCCAGCACCCTATGACAAAAAATGGAAACACACCAGCAGTGTGAGGAGACCTGAAAGTGGCACATGGCAGAGTGTGGCGATGGAGACAGCAGCAATGGGAGGCCGTACAGGGACCCATGACACACTCTGGACCTGGCAGCAGCATGAGGAGGCGGTACAGGGGCCCATGGCAGATTCAGCCTGGCAGCAGCAATGGGAGGCCCGTAATCTGCCAGCACCCTACTGGACAAAATGGAACCCACCAACAGTGTAAGGAGACCTGAAAGTGGCACATGGCAGAGTCTGGCGATTGAAGTCAGCAGCAATGGGAGGCCGTACAGGGACCCATGACACACTCTGGACCTGGCAGCAGCAATGAGAGGCGGTACAGGGGCCCATGGCAGAGTGGCGAAGCGTAAGCAGCTTAAATTGAAGGCCATACAGAGGCCTATGTTAAAAATAATAACATGTGGGGCATGATTCATGGCGGGATTTAGTCAGTTTGTGTCAGGAACTGGTGGTTTGAAATCCAGACTAATCCACGCCTGATTCATTTTCACAAACGTGAGTCTCTCCACACTTTGGGTGGACAGTCGTGTCCTCCGCGGAGTTACAATACCTCCTGCCGCACTAAACACGCGCTCCGATGCCACGCTACTGGCCGGGCATGACAGCCTTTCAAGGGCAAATTCAGCTAGTTGGGGCCAAAGGTCAAGTTTCGTTGCCCAGTAGTCAAGGGGATTGTCTACCTCGGTTGGCAGGGTGCTGTCCAAGTAGGCCCGAGCCTGTTGTTTGAGGTCCTGCTCCAGGTCCACCTGATGCTGCTGCTGCTGCGGCTGGTTAGTAGTTTCCTCACTGCGCTGGTGAAGAAAGCTACTCATCATCGACTGCAGACTGAGGCAGCCGCTGCTGGTGGAGCTGCCACTGCTCCTACCACCCCACCCCTCCCCTGCTGCCATGGCAGCGGAACGCGAGCGCACAGGGCCCACAGTGTCTGAGGATGGACGTTGGCGCAGAAAGGCAGAGACCAACTGACTACATAGGTGTTTTTTATAGTACGTTATTTTGGCCTCCCTCTCAGCAGGTGTGAAAAAGGCCACCATTTTTGAACGGTAGCGAGGGTCCAACAAGGTGGACAGCCAAAAGTCATCCCTCTGTCTGATGGTTATTTATTATTCGGCTGTCGCTACGCAAGCAACCGAGCATGCTATGGGCCATTTGTGCCAAGGAATGCGAGGGACTCCCTGCCTCCATCTCCACAGCATACTGCCACGGTGCGTCTGGGTCCTCTGTCTCCTCCTCCTCCTCCTCTACCAGATGCTCCTGCTCCTCCACTCCTGTCCGCTGAGTGGAAAAACCACCCATTTCACTCAATAATTCCTGAGCACCAATGTCCTCCTCTACCTCCTCCTCTTCTTCCTGTCCTGCCCCCACAGGGGTCATGTGGCGTTGAGATCTGTGCGCCACGTCTACCGCACCCTGACCAGCCATTGTTAACAGCATTTGTTCCAGGACGTGCAACAGAGGAATGACGTCGTTCATCCCATAGTCCTGCCGACTCACGAATAGCGTGGCCTCCTCAAAGGGCCTGAGCAAGCGGCAGGTGTCACGCATGAGCTGCCAATGGCTGACATCTAAGTTACACAGGGGAGTACCTTTTATCCGCTTGTAACATCAGGAAATCGGTGATGGCCTTTCGCTGTTCGTAAAGGCGGTCTAACATATGTAGGGTTGAATTCCACCTTGTTTGCAACGTCACAGCATGAGGAGTCGGTACAGGGGCCCATGGCAGATTACGGCCTGGCAGCAGCAATGGGAGGCCCGTAATCTGCCAGCACCCTATGAAAAAAATGGAACACACCAGCAGTGTGAGGAGACCTGAAAGTGGCACATGGCAGAGTGTGGCGATGGAGACAGCAGCAATGGGAGGCCGTACAGGGACCCATGAGAGACTCTGGACCTGGCAGCAGCATGAGGAGGCGGTACAGGGGCCCATGGCAGATTACAGGGCCTGGCAGCAGCAATGGGAGGCCCGTAATCTGCCAGCACCCTATGACAAAAAAATGGAACACACCAGCAGTGTGAGGAGACCTGAAAGTGGCACATGGCAGAGTGTGGCGATGGAGACAGCAGCAATGGAGGCCGTACAGGGACCCATGACAGACTCTGGACCTGGCAGCAGCATGAGGAGGCGGTACAGGGGCCCATGGCAGATTACGGGCCTGGCAGCAGCAATGGGAGGCCCGTAATCTGCCAGCACCCTATGACAAAAAATGGAACACACCAGCAGTGTGAGGAGACCTGAAAGTGGCACATGGCAGAGTGTGGCGATGGAGACAGCAGCAATGGGAGGCCGTACAGGGACCCATGAGAGACTCTGGACCTGGCAGCAGCATGAGGAGGCGGTACAGGGGCCCATGGCAGATTACAGTGTGGCCTGGCAGCAGCAATGGGAGGCCCGTAATCTGCCAGCACCCTATGACAAAATGGAACACACCAGCAGTGTGAGGAGACCTGAAAGTGGCACATGGCAGAGTGTGGCGATGGAGACAGCAGCAATGGGAGGCCGTACAGGGACCCATTTGAGACTCTGGACCTGGCAGCAGCATGAGGAGGCGGTACAGGGGCCCATGGCAGATTATTACGGGCCTGGCAGCAGCAATGGGAGGCCCGTAATCTGCCAGCACCCTATGACAAAATGGAACACACCAGCAGTGTGAGGAGACCTGAAAGTGGCACATGGCAGAGTGTGGCGATGGAGACAGCAGCAATGGGAGGCCGTACAGGACCCATGAGAGACTCTGGACCTGGCAGCAGCATGAGGAGGCGGTACGGGGGCCCATGGCAGATTACGGGCCTGGCAGCAGCAATGGGAGGCCCGTAATCTGCCAGCACCCTATGACAAAATGAACACACCAGCAGTGTGAGGAGACCTGAAAGTGGCACATGGCAGAGTGTGGCGATGGAGACAGCAGCAATGGGAGGCCGTACAGGGACCCATGAGAGACTCTGGACCTGGCAGCAGCATGAGGAGGCGGTACAGGGGCCCATGGCAGATTACGGGCCTGGCAGCAGCAATGGGGAGGCCCGTAATCTGCCAGCACCCTATGACAAAAAAACACACCAACAGTGTGAGGAGACCACACAGCAGTGTGGCGAGGAGACCTGAAAGCCGTACAGGGCATGACAGATGGCAGCAGTGGTGGCGGATGGAGACAGATTACGGGCCAGCAGCAAAAATGGTAGGCCATTTTCACCCTATGACAACATGGGACCACATGTGAGAGACCTGAAAGTGGCACCTGGCAGTGTGGCAGCAGACAGCAGCGCAAAGGAGGCGGTACAGGGACCCATGAGAGAGCTCTGGCCTGGCAGCAGATTACAGGGGCCATGGCAGATTAGCCAGCATCAATGGGGAGGCCCCGTAATCTGCCAGCACCCTATGTCAAAAAATGGAACACACCAGCAGTGTGAGGAGACCTGAAAGTGGCACATGGCAGAGTGTGGCGATGGAGACAGCAGCAATGGGAGGCCGTACAGGGACCCATGACAAAGACTGGACCTGGCAGCAGCATGAGGAGGCGGTACAGGGGCCCAGCTGGCAGATTAACAGGCCTGGCAGCAGCAATGGGGAGGCCCGTAATCTGCCAGCACCCTATGACAAAAAATGGAAACACACCAGCAGTGGTGAGGAGACCTGAAAGTGGCAGCACATGGCAGAGTGTGGCGATGGAGACAGCAGCAATGGGAGGCCGTACAGGGACCCATGAGAGACTCTGGACTTGGCAGCAGCATGAGGAGGCGGTACAGGGGCCCATGGCAGATTAGGGCCTGGCAGCAGCAATGGGAGGCCCGTAATCTGCCAGCACCCTATGAAAAAAATGGAACACACCAGCAGTGTGTGAGAACCTGAAAGTGGGCACATGGCAGAGTGTGGCGATGGAGACAGCAGCAATGGGAGGCCGTACAGGGACCCATGAACAGGACTCTGGACCTGGCAGCAGCATGAGGAGGCGGTACAGGGGCCCATGGCAGATTACAGGGGCCTGGCAGCAGCTATGGGAGGCCCGTAATCTGCCAGCACCCTATGACAAAAATGGAACCCACCAGCAGTGTGAGGAGACCTGAAAGTGGTCACATGGCAGAGTGTGGCGATGGAGACAGCAGCAATGGGAGGCCGTACAGGGACCCATGAGAGACTCTGGACCTGGCAGCAGCATGAGGAGGCGGTACAGGGGCCCATGGCAGATTACGGGCCTGGCAGCAGCAATGGAGGCCCGTAATCTGCCAGCACCCTATGACAAAATGGAACAACACCAGCATGTGAGAGGAGACCTGAAAGTGGCACATGGCAGAAGTGTGGCGATGGAGACAGCAGCAATGGGAGGCCGTACAGGGACCCATTGAGAGACTCTAGGACCTGGCAGCAGCATGAGGAGGCGGTACAGGGGCCCATGGCAGATTAGGGGCCTGGCAGCAGCAATGGGGAGGCCCGTAATCTTGCCAGCACCCTATGACAAAAAATGGAACACCACCAGCAGTGTGAGGAGACCTGAAAGTGTGGCACATGGCAGAGTGTGGCGATGGAGACAGCAGCAATGGGGATGGGCCGTACAGGGACCCATGAGAGACTGTGGACCTGGCAGCAGCATGAGGAGGCGGTACAGGGGCCCATGGCAGATTATGGGCCTGGCAGCAGCAATGGGAGGCCCGTAAATCTGCCAGCACCCTATGACAAAATTGGAACACACCAGCAGTGTGTGAGAGACCTGAAAGTGGCACATGGCAGAGTGTGGCGATGGAGACAGCAGCAATGGAGGCCGTACAGGGACCCATGAGACACTCTGGACCTGGCAGCAGCATGAGGAGGCGGTACGGAAAGGGGCCCATGGCAGATTAAGGGCCTGGCAGCAGCAATGGGAGGCCCGTAATCTGCCAGCACCCTATGACAAAAAATGGAAAACACACAGCAGTGTGAGGAGACCTGAAAGTGGGCACATGGCAGAGTGTGGCGATGCGAAACAGCAGCGAAACCTCCCCTCAGGAGACAGCAGACAGAACGGGGGCAAAGGCCGATTTACAGGGCCCATGAGAGTTACGGACCTGGCAGCAGCAATGGGAGGCCCGGCAGGCAGACCCTATGCCGTATCTTTATCACACAGCAGTGAGGAGACCCAGGCACACCGAAATGGCGACGCTGCATATGCTGACGCAACGCTGTAGGTCCCAACATGGGCCCCCTGGCCACGCTTGACTTTCTGGCCACATAGTCGACATACGGCTACGTTTACTTCCTTCGGGCGGCTTGACGAAAAATTGCCACACCGCCGAGTAGGAAAACTTTGCCCCGCGCTACTCCTCACTGGCTGACTGCTACTTCCTCCGTGCACACCGGCACCACTACTGGCCGTGGTGGTAGGCTGCAGTGGAGCTGGTGCTCTACTACCCGTGGGCCGTTTGCCTCCACTGACACTGCTGCGACCCTGCTGCCTCCTGGGCAACCCACCGACTGTTTTGCTCGCTGCCAAGCTGGCACCCTCTTCTCCTGATGATGCGGAAGCAATAGCCTGATGACGACGAGGCTGCCAAGTGCGATCAGCCTCATCATCATCAATTAGGGTCTCCGCCTCACTACTAGCCCCCCTCGGCTGCGTGTGGGTCGGGAGACAGACCTGTCTCTAGACCGGCTACCGAGCCACTCTCCTCGCCAGTACTTCTTCGCCTGGCTGCTGAAGAGGCGGATGTCTCCCCCCGTTCCTGACCGCCCTCTGTTAGCTCTTCCTCACTGTACAGTGGGGCTGAGCCCACCAGCATGCGATACTTCGCTTGGTGAGGGAACACCAAAGGACAGGGGCAGGTAGAGGACACGTGATTTCAGTGGGCTTGCTCCCGGGCCATGCCAACTAAACGGTTGTGTCTGACGTACCCACCGACCGTTGGCTGTAGGTGTCAGAGGTGACCTGGGAAGAGGAAGACGACCGAGCCAACCAATCGATGACGGCAGGGTTGTCGGTGGAGACACGACGCTGGATGACACCGGGAGCACTGGCCTCTGTGCGACTAGTGCTGCCTCGACCCCTTCCTCTGCTGCCACGTCTGCTCGCTCCTAAAACATTGCCCTCCTCTGCCACTCTTCTGCATGTTGTCTGACATACTCTTTAATTCAACGATTCTGTGTCCCTGAGTAACAATTGTGTGTCCCTGAGTAACAATTGTGTGTCCCTGAGTAACAATTGTGTGTCCCTGAATAACAATTGTGTGTCCCTGAATAACAATTGTGTGTTCCTCAGTAACAATTCTGTGTCTGTCCCTGAGTAACAATTCTGTGTCCACGAGTAACAATTCTGTGTCTGTCCCTGAGTAACAATTCTGTGTCCCTGAGTAACAATTCTGTGTCTGTCCCTGAGTAACAATTCTGTGTCCCTGAGTAACAATTGTGTGTCCCTGAGTAACAATTGTGTGTCCCTGAGTAACAATTCTGTGTCCCTCAGTAACAATTCTGTGTCTGTCCCTCAGTAACAATTCTGTGTCCCTCAGTAACAATTCTGTGTCCCTCAGTAACAATTCTGTGTCCCTGAGTAACAATTCTGTGTCCCTCAGTAACAATTCTGTGTCTGTCCCTGAGTAACAATTCTGTGTCCCTCAGTAACAATTCTGTGTCTGTCCCTCAGTAACAATTCTGTGTCTGTCCCTGAGTAACAATTCTGTGTCCCTGAGTAACAATTCTGTGTCCCTGAGTAACAATTGTGTGTCCCTGAGTAACAATTGTGTGTCCCTGAGTAACAATTGTGTGTCCCTCAGTAACAATTCTGTGTCTGTCCCTCAGTAACAATTCTGTGTCTGTCCCTCAGTAACAATTCTGTGTCCCTCAGTAACAATTCTGTGTCCCTCAGTAACAATTTCTGTGTCCCTGAGTAACAATTCTGTGTCTGTCCCTGAGTAACAATTCTGTGTCTGTCCCTCAGTAACAATTCTGTGTCTGTCCCTCAGTAACAATTCTGTGTCTGTCCCTGAGTAACAATTCTGTGTCCCTCAGTAACAATTCTGTGTCTGTCCCTGAGTAACAATTCTGTGTCCCTAAGTAACGGTTCTGTGTCCCTAATACAGAGAGATCTGTCTCTCTTGAATGACCAGAGGCAAATGGAGAATTGTAAGATGGCCGCAATTTATAGCTCCACCATTACACAGTGCTGGCTGGCTGGCTGCTGATTGGCTAATGCGATCACATGTCATGAATGAATGCATTATGGGTCAGCGCGCCTTGTCTGCGCGCCTTCCCAGAGATCCCTGCTCCGTCGCCGCACATGTCGCCGCCATTTTTGGAAAAATTTCGATTCGCGCATCCGAAGTCTGCTAATTTTCGGAATCGAAATTTTTCTAATGTTCGAAACGAATTCCACTTCGCCGAGTTTGATTCGCTCATCTCTACTCAAAACCTGCATCAGGGTAGGCAGGGGTGTAAACAGTAAATAATGGGGGGGGGGCCCGCTAGGCCATTTCATGTGGCCTTCAAACCTCTCCTTCAACTGAAGCACCCTCCCTTGCTTCTGTCCCCACCTTGTCTCAGCAGACAGCTGCAGAAAGGAGGACAGAACTCCTCCTAGAGATCCGGTGCCTCTCTGTGAAGCAAAAAAGCACTCCCTTGTCTCTGCCCCCACCTCAGCAGTCGGAAGCAAAGAGGAGGACAGAGCTCCTCTTACAGATACTGCACCTCTCCGTGCAGCTGCAGCACCCCCTCATCCCAACCTTGTCTCAGCAGTTGGCAGCAGAGAGGAGAACAGAACTTCTACTGATCCTGCACCTCTTTATGCAGCTGCACCACCCCCTCGTCTCTGCCCCCACATTGTCTCAGCAGTCAGCAGCAGAAAGGAGGACAGAACTCCTCCTACAGATCCTGCGCCTCTCTGTGCAGCCACAGCACCCCCTTGTCTCCGCCCCCACCTTGTCTCAGCAGTTGGCAGAGGAGCGGAGGACAGAACTCCTCTTATAGAGCCTGCGCCTCTCTGTGCAGCCACAGAAACCCTTCGTTTCTGCCCCCAACTTGTCTCAGC